GGGAATGACCCGAAACAGCCCCGAATTAAACTCAAAAAATAGATGGGAATGACCCGAAACAGCCACGAATTAAACCCAAAAAACAGCCGGGAATGACCCGAAACAGCCCCGAATTAAACCCAAAAAATGGCTCCAAACAGCCCCGAATTAACCCAAAAATCCCAGCCCGGAATGGCTCCAAACAGCCCCGAATTAACCCAAAAATCCCAGCCCGGAATGGCTCCAAACAGCCCCGAATTAACCCAAAAATCCCAGCCCGGAATGGCTCCAAACAGCCCCGAATTAACCCAAAAATCCCAGCCCGGAATGGCTCCAAACAGCCCCGAATTAACCCAAAAATCCCAGCCCGGAATGGCTCCAAACAGCCCCGAATTAACCCAAAAATCCCAGCCCGGAATGGCTCCAAACAGCCCCGAATTAACCCAAAAATCCCAGCCCGGAATGGCTCCAAACAGCCCCGAATTAACCCAAAAAATGGCTCCAAACAGCCCCGAATTAACCCGAAAAATCAGCCGGGAATGACCCGAAACAGCCGCGAATTAAACCCAAAACACTCCCAGTGCTCCCAGTCCCCCCAGTACCCCTCCCAGTGCTCCCAGCTCCCCCTTCCAGTGCTCCCAGTGCCCCCTCCCATCTCCCCCAGTGCTCCCAGTGCCCCTCCCCGCGATCCCAGTGCCCCCCAGTACCCCTCCCAGTGCTCCCAGTACGCACGCAGCCGGTACTGGAGCACGTAGCCGGTGACGATTCCGTTCGGGTGTCGCGGCCGCCGCCACTCCAGGCCCAGCGCGGTGTCCCCGAGCCGCTCCACGCGCAGCTCCTCGGGGGGGCCCGGCACTGGGGAGGGGGCGGTCAGAGACCCCCGGAGACCCCCAAATCCTCCCCAAATCCTCCCCAAAATCCTCCAAAATCCTCCCCAAAATCCCCCCCAAATCCCACCCGAATCTCACCCGAAACCGGCGCTGGGGAGGGGGCGGTCAGGGACCCCCGGAGACCCCCAAATCCTCCCCAAATCCCCCCAAAATCCTCCAAAATCCTCCCCAAAATTCCCCCAAATCCCACCCGAAACCGGCGCTGGGGAGGGGGCGGTCAGAGACCCCCGGAGACCCCCAAATCCTCCCCAAAATCCCCCCCAAATCCTCCCCAAAATCCCCCAAAATCCCCCCCAAATCCCACCCGAAATGGGGACAGGGACACCCAAAATCCCCCCCAAAATTCCACAAAATTCTCCCAAATCCCCCCCGAATCCTCCCCAAATCGGGCACGGGGGGGCTCCGGTCAGGATTTGAATTTTTGGGGGTCCCGATTTCACCGTTTTTGGTCTCGGGGGGATTTTGGGGGTCCCGATTTCATTATTTTTGTTCTGGGGGGGATTTTGGGGGTCCCGATTTCACTTTTGGGGTTCCCAATTTCACTGTTGGGGGTCCCGATTTCCCCGTTTCTATCCCGGGTGGGATTTTTGGGGTCCCGATTTCACTGTTGGGGGTCCCGATTTCACTTTTGGGGGTCCCGATTTCCCCGTTTCCATCCCGGGTGGGATTTTTGGGGGGCTGTGCGGGGGTCTCACCTCCCTCGGGGGTGTGGAATCGGATCTCGGCGCTGGGGGGTCCCGCCCCCCGCCCGTTGAACACCAGCACCTGCAGGCGGTAGCGGCTCCAGGGGTGAAGCCCCCCCAGAACGGCCCCGCTGGCCTCGCCCGGCACCGTCAGCACCCCCGGCTGGGGAGGGGGCGCGGGGGTCCCGGGGGGGGGCGGGGCCTGGCGCCGGGAGCGCTCCCCCACCCACCCCTCGCGCCAGTACAGAACCTGGGGGGGAGGGGAGGGGAGGGGGCGTCAGGACCCCCCAAAACTGACCCGAGTTGTCCCCTCCCCCCACCTGAGCGGGGGAGGGGGCGTCAGGACCCCCCCAAAAACTGACCCGAGTTGTCCCCTCCCCCCACCCTGAAGCACATGGGGGTGGGGACCTCCCAGCAGGACCCCCCCAAAACTGACCCGAGTTGTCCCCTCCCCCCACCCTGAAGCACATGGGGGTGGGGAGGGGGCGTCAGGACCCCCCCAAAACTGACTCGAGTTGTCCCCTCCCCGCACCTGAGCGGGGGAGGGGGCGTCAGGACCCCCCAAAATTGACCCGAGTTGTCCCCTCCCCCCACCTGAGCGGGGGAGGGGGCGTCAGGACCCCCCCCAAAACTGACCCGAGTTGTCCCCTCCCCCCACCCTGAAGCCCCTTGGGGGGGGATTTTGGGATGAGGAGGGGGCGTCAGGAGCCCCCAAAACCGCCTGGAACCGCCCCCGCACATTCCCAGGAATCCCCAGGTCGGGACTGGGGAATTCCCGGCGGGATTTCCGGGAATTCCGGACGGGATTTCCGGGAATTCCGGACGGGATTTTTTGGGAATTCCCGGCCGGATTTTGGGAATTCCCGGCCGGATTTTGGGGAATTCCCGTCGGGATTTTTGGGAATTCCGGGAATTCTGCTCGGGATTT